GCGTTCTTAAGGTTCTTTGAAGGCTCTTAATCATATTGATTTAGTCTACATGCGGAAGGACCGTGTATCTGGTGCCATCGGTGATGCATTAGTTTTACATGAGTTTGGCGGTAGAATTATCGGGGCCAAACTCTCTGAACTGTTAGGAGGTTGTGGGTTCCAGTTTAATAGGTAAGAAACGATAGATCACTCTAAATTGACCCTGAAATACCTAAACTTATCGTGTAGTTGATAATCATGGGGTTTCAGAACATACCTCAAAAGCCCAAGGGCTCCACATTTTGGATACAGACCTCCACTTGGCACTGAAAGCCGAATATCACTATTGCCACTTTTCGATTCCTCATTTTTGCGACATATTAGGAGTTCATAAAAGGCTCCGTAGGATTTTAATCATAAATAGAACCTTACTGTGGTTTATATGCACTGCAACGGCGTTTGTGTTTGTTCCAGTCGCTTTCCGTCCTTGCGTAAGGTGTAACGCTTTTTTTAAATATAATCCCCGGCGACTTACACGGTCTCTACATGCATCTGATGGGAGTGTTGTTGACATAAATCAGTGATACCTAAAGCGCCATTCAGTGACTGTATAACTATACGGTCGAAAATGAGGTATTTATCGTGCAGGTCCACTTTGTATGTGACGAACTAACGATAAATTCTTTCCGAGCTTGTGGTTATAGCATCAGCCCTGAGAGCCACCGACTTTGACTGTTGCAGTTTCATAAGCCAGTTTTTTGAAATTCACTTATAGTAACAGCATACTCAGCCCTAAGAAGATTTTTATCCGAATAACCTTCCAGTGTCGTCAATTTTTCGACGGCTAATGACGGTAAGGAGGGCCTTGGCTAGCGCACATTAATCAGGATTTCGGTCAGGTCGAGGCTGCATTGGCTACATCGTCACATTCCGATAATTGTTAGAGGAACACCATGTATGTAGCAAGCACACAATGTTGATTTTCATTGACTTCAGGAATGCGTTCGATTTGTCGAATACTCATTACTTTTGACTACATCTGGTCGCCAGGAGGTGTCCCGTAAAGTTTGCGAATTTAATCCGATCCTTATGTATACGTTATTCCGGGCGTGAGACAGCGTGGGGTGCAGTCCTTGCAATAAGTGCTGCCCAGCTTGTTCAGCTTCGTCACTGAGGAAATAATGAGACAGACGCCGGAGAGTATTCAAGTTCCCGGTGTTTGAGTCGCTGCTGGTGAGATTCTTATTGACATGAACTACGTAGACGAGACCGTCCCATTATTCGAAAAATAAGAGAAAGCAAAGGGGTTGAAATATAATTAGAGAATCTCTGGTTTTACGGCAGTGAAGCACCGGTAGCAACACTGGTGTTACTGTATCTTATGATGATGAAGGTTGTTGAATAAAAGAACTGCTACTCTGTCGTCTTTTGGCATGTATTTTGCACCTGGCAAGTCATATAGTCATTGAACATGTCCCGTGCAATCCACGGAAAAGCCCTGGGCAGTTTTATTAGCTCTGATGGAAATGTGTCTGGTGGATTCAGTTAATGAGTCCTGAAGTTCAGAATCATGCTCGCCAATTCGTCCGGTTCAACTGAGATAAATGGACATTGGTGCAATGGGTGGTTTTTTTGCCGTGTCAATGTACGCCTCCACCAGGCTGCAGTTCCGAGGCTGAGAAAGATGGCGTTTATCGCGACGATTAACATCTTTTTCGGTCAGCTGTCATCCTGGGGTGTGGTAAGAACATCCAGGTTTTACCACTGCGTGGGCGACAATTACGGTTGGGTTATTAACAGAAACATCAGATGAAAACACTGGTACTTCACTGCTGTCCAACTATGTCAACTTATTTAAATAAATCCGTGTAATGGAAAGAAAAATGGGGCGGGAGGGACTTAGTGTAGTCTGCCACAAGTATCGACAGTATCTACACTCACAATCTGGGTGGAAATTGACAATGAACGCCACTGATATCGGTTGGCCACCATATCTCCAGCACAGGAAGGGTCAAGTGGGCTTCATTCTAGAAGGCGAAGAGAACCAACAGCACCCAAACTTTTCGTAGCCTCCCTCATTTCTTTCTACCACGTCAAATTCTGTCCACCTCTAGGTTATTGTCACTCCTGACTGGGCATGGAAAACAGGGTCCATCTCGACAAATAGTAACTAGGTATGCGTAACACATAGCCCAGCCCCTCAGCTTGCAGTACTGGGCGCATTTATTTACCGGTCTCACCGAGAACTCGTCTTCTGACCAAATCATTCTGAGTTGGCTGGTTTCAGTCGATTCTAGTTATGGTTCTGAGGCATCAGTGGTGAGAGAACTGAGTATGTCTCAGATCCCCCTCCCGAAGTCTCATAACCATGCAGTCGCAGCCCACATCATAGTCTGATGTAAGCGTCACTGGAGACCAAGTTATATGCCGCCTGATACCACAAGTGACACAAATTGGTAAAAGTAATTCTGGCCTCTGAGATTTGTGCGTTCACTTCGTCAGTCACATTGTCAGAGCTAATGCAACTTACGAGGCAAGTATAACGTTCGGCAGTTACTCCTTGAATTCATAGAGGCATGTTTAAAGGCTACCCATCCTGCAGCGTGACTTTGCACTTTGTGGGCGTACCTGAGGGCTGGAATACCCTAACTAACTTCTCAAGTAATGCCTGCTGTTTTCAAAATTAGGAACAGTGTCACTCGCATATTCCATGTCGGCGATGATCCCACTCAGAAAGATCTGAACGTGGCGGTTTTGGAGATTTTCAGTGTTCGACTCATTACTTCATCAATGACGAAACTAAACAAAATGAGGGAGTGCGTTCACTTCGTCAGTCACATTGTCAGAGCTAATGCAACTTACGAGGCAAGTATAACGTTCGGCAGTTACTCCTTGAATTCATAGAGGCATGTTTAAAGGCTACCCATCCTGCAGCGTGACTTTGCACTTTGTGGGCGTACCTGAGGGCTGGAATACCCTAACTAACTTCTCAAGTAATGCCTGCTGTTTTCAAAATTAGGAACAGTGTCACTCGCATATTCCATGTCGGCGATGATCCCACTCAGAAAGATCTGAACGTGGCGGTTTTGGAGATTTTCAGTGTTCGACTCATTACTTCATCAATGACGAAACTAAACAAAAAAGCTGAGGGAGTGGACATCCTTGTCGGACACCACTGCTTGTAGGAAAGAATTTTTTTGGGCTCCCTATCTGCTCTCACGGATCCACACGTGTGTGAAGACAATCGGAACATTGCACTGCACAAGCGTGTAGCAAATAACGAAGCGGTCGACAGAATATTGAGATTGAGCATTCTTGCGGTCAAGAAATACCAGGACTGTAGGGCACTTATGTGCATGGCGTTGCTCCAACACTTGACGAAGTGTGAAAATGTGGTCCACACAGCCCCTTCCCGGCCAGAATCCTGCTAGCTGTCCTCGGGTCCCGTTTTCACGCGCCTTCGTGAGAAAGTAGTAGAATGGGCGACGCGAACACTGGTTACGATTGGGATAGGCTAGTTCCCCCTGCGATTACCACATTCGCCGGGTGCTCTTTTTTTGAAAGCAAGCCTCATTACCGATTCACCGGTTAGTTTGGGAGTTCTTTCTCCCAGATAGAAAACAAGTTAGACAACCACCTGCTGAGGATTGTACCTCCATCCATGAACAGAGAGGGTGTGAGTTCATCAGGACCAGCAGCTTGGTAGCGCTTGAAAGGGCATTCTTTTATCTCCGTAGGTATCGGGTGTTTCACTTTCACTGTCCATGTCTGCGTTTTAGGTTGGAAATCAGACCAAGTAACTGCAAGTGGCCAGTTGAGTTGTTGAAGTATCCAGCCCGACGACTGAGGTGTCGTTCCTTTTTAGAGATGAGCGAGCAGTATTTGTCAATTATTATTTTGCTCACTGTATGTTTCCTTGGACCATTTGTGCGTATCTGCGGCAACAGTCTGCGCACATTCTCCGAGTTTCTCGGCCTCCATCTCTCCAGCTTTCTGGACCCATGAAGCTTCTCGGTCGGCGAGATGGCTCAAGTGGTTAGAGCGCCAATTTACTAACCGGAAGGTTCGTGGTTCTCACTGGTAAGGCGAGGTGTGTGCATCTTGCGTGCAACCAGAAGCAGAACAATAAGCGCGTAAACAGACTCCACCTAGGTGCCGCCCAACGAGCGACATCCAGTAGTTGGTTCCAGACATCTATAGCTAATGGCCATGTGGCATATCTGTGCTGGAGTTTGACTGGTATGTGAAAGGCACCTTGTGACCAGGCGGCTTCGGTTGGGAGTTAATACTGGCTCAGTGGTTGAAGCGCGAATTTACTGACCGGAAGATCTGTGGTTCGAATTCGACCTCTGGCCTCTCGACTTCCCCTGTCTAAACTTGGGCAACGCAGCAGTATATCAACCCTCGTGCTTTTTTTGGTGGCATGGCAGCTAGGCACCGGAAAGGTATTACAGCTGGACGATTTTTTATAGCGGACACCATTCCCCATTCTGAGCCATCGTCTGTCAGGGTGTATGCTGGTCGAGGTGCATTTATCAAGCCAACCAATGGTGTAGTGTCAAATCAATTAGTCAGATGGTTGGGTGGTGGTTGACAGTATCGCAGTTTCCATAAATAGGTAAATGAAGAAAGACTGTCCCCACGCACCTGTCGCATGACTGTATTTCCAGACCGCCTCGTAATACGGTTTATTGTAGTACGGGGACTCCCCCTACGGTTGAACCTTAAGGAGCTGAGATCCAGCCAATGTAGTCGGCAGAATAATTGCGCCACTGAAGTCCGACCATGTCGGTACAGTCACGGCTTTAAATCAGACGTTCTTAATAAACAATCTTCGGGTTGCGCTGTGTAATACGCATACTCAAAATATTCCGTTTCAACGGTGGTTAAATGATGATGGGTTTCACTGTGGAGATAGATTTTCGGTAAATCCATATGACCTTTTATTAGGCCATGTAGTGAAACTCATGACAATACAACACAACTAACAATTTTCAAATTTTTTGTTTCTGCTATTACAGTCCTCTCGAAATACCCAAAAGAGCACTTGGCTCTCCAATGCAAAGCTGTCGCCCTGATCCGGACTGAGAAGTACGAAGAATGTCTAAGCACAATCAAGAAGTTCCCGGAACTCATGAAGTTTGTTTCAATTCAGTTCTGTAATTTCTGTCCAGATATGTCTTATTTGAGAAGGCTTATGCCGAATATCGTCTAAATCGTATTCATGACGCCCTAAAGACATTGGAAGATGGGGAACCCAATGATCTACGAATACTAGAGCTAAGGGCTCAAGTTGTAAGATAAATTTGTATGAAAACACTTATTTGTGTTTCCCAAGCTGTATCGCCTTGAAGAGTTCACAGAAGCCTATTCATGTCTGCGGCAAGTCATCCGGAATTCCCAAGTACCCGCCCGTTTTAGGGCGATTTTGGGGAGGAGCGGCTCACAAATCTGACGGCAGGGGCGGCCTCAGCTGCCTGCTTCAAACAGCAACATATTGTAGGTTTACGGAGTTTGACTGTTCTTATTTCGCGTTATTCCAGGATATTGACATTAATCCGGACACGTACGAAGGGAAGTTCAACTTAGCTTGTTACCAGCTCGGTTTGGGCAATGTCGCAAAGGCTGAAACCTTGTTACATGATGCTGAAAGTAAGGCCGATCAATCCTGTTAATTGTTTGTACCATTTTAGCTGTATGCCGAACTGCTCTTGCTGATGATCCAGAGGTTACTGAGGACGAAGTGAACGAGGAGCTGGCACCTATAACGTAAGTTAGGGGTCTCCTTCTCTAACCGTAGCTCTTTTTTACGTAACCCGTTAGTCAAAAATGGGTTGCAGCTCTTTTTTGGATAGCTACTCAAGGTATATCGTTTATTTGGGCGAATACTGAGTCGTCTTGAATTGCTACTTTCTAGACAAAGTTGCTCTCAATATTTTTCACTTCCTGGATTCGATCTTGCATTTTTGAACTGCTTTCGTCTTATCAGCTCTTTCTCAAGTTGGCCGTCACGTTTTCCACATAAAGATTAGGAATCAGTGATCGTTTTGCTCAAATTGTCGTGGTCCTGTCGGGCATGTCGCTAGGATTGTTCTAGAGCAAAGTAACTCCAACTGCTGGACTCCTTCAGTGACAGTGGATTTTGAGAGGAAATAAACAACAAAAATAGTTGATCTTTACTTAGTTTTATTCAGCGACCTTGATTTAATGCTGAGGCAAGTTTTTCTATTCAAATCTTTGATACTTGGTCGAACCCGTAGGTTGGGTCATGTGTGGTTACAACCAGGAAAGTAACTTATAAGTAAAATAGACTGTTATTTTTGAGTTAGCGTTTTTGTTGTAAATAACTGCAATCCCCGCTCCATCACCCTAATTTCGAACAAGCGAGTACAGAAATTATAAGGGCATCGCGCTACTGAAAGCGCACTTTTGACCTTGACTCCAGGCTGTCCGATCAGCGCTGGGTGAACACTCATCGTCGTCGACCGGTGCCTGTATTACGTACCTGAAGATTCGTCACCGTCGGCCGTTCCTGAACTGAATGACTGCTTGAGCGGCTGATCGGCCAATCTGGATAATTCCTCCACGTGACAGGAAACCGAAGGCACTGCTAATAACCGCCGTAGTTCCATCGGCTCATTATCTCTAGGTCTCAAAATGAGCCAAATTAACCTCGTATCGTACGATAAACAGATACCTCAGCGGCTTGGGTGAGGAGCGAACTATCGTTGAGTCTCGGCAGCCGACCATAGACTGAAAGACGAATTATGCTTTGTATTTCATTCGTAGGATACGTGGTGACCTCATTCTAACTTGCCAAGTCTCGTAACATCCAGACCACTTATGCAGCTTTCCGCTTTCACTTGCAAGAATGAAAAATCCTTCGCGCTTTTCGGTAGTTCACTGATTCTTCCACAACCATTGTCTATTCTCCTTTACTGTTCTATCTGGTGTTTAATTCTCATACGAGTTTCAAACTACGGGCTAGGCAACACCCACAGGACGTGCACTATGTGCCCACATAACTCTTCGGTGACCAACTGCTGTTTTACGAGAGAAGTACAGGTTTCTTATTATGACACCCACCCAGTCAACCTGATAGATGCGATAGTTAAATAGAGTGCCCCAATTAGAGGCAATGCATTCACACTATTTCGAGACTTCACACTTGTGAAACAAAACTCTGCGTAACTTTCCTTGGCTTTTATCATGTTGAACAGCTTAATTCTTTTCATCAGAGCGTCAGTATGTCCATAAGATTCCTTGTGTTATTTCCGTCAATCCCGCTGGGTCCGTTTAGATTACTTTCTGTATGCTCTGGGTCACTTTTCTAACACAGTTCATAATGTCACTGTCCGTTTGCGAGGAAAGTGGGAGGGGGAGAGGAGATCCCTGGAGTTCCGTGATGACAAATCACATTCATTCGAACTCGTCGACCTATCAATGTAATTCCACTACCCGAAACAGGAAAAAATGTATTTCAGTATGAAGATGAAGTGGGCATTTCTGAACAACCTCAGTCCGCTAAACGAACCAGACCTTATTTGCTATCCCAGTTGAGATAGTCTGCTTCTGCTTGGTCCTGGAAGGTAGGAAAACTTTTTGTCAATACAATAATGGAACATTTCCAAGGGGCAATGCACTTGGAGCTTCCAAGGAAGTACATCATAGTTTCAGCTACCATTTGAGATTATCTTTGATGCTCAAATACTCTATCCTGCGCAGGTTGCCGCAAATCTATGCCCCCATGACAGGCAGCTAAAGTCTAAGTCAGCATGTCCAGCGGAGGAAGGCGAACCCTTTCGATCACAGCTTTCATTGTCCCTGGATCGGAATCTTTTTTTTTTGAGCGTACTGTGAAGGTAATCCAGAGTCCTAGCAATGTCATATATTGGGCGATACCAATTGCAGTAATTATTGACACCAGGTCTTTCTTAGGTTGTGGGATCAAGTTGCTGCCATGTATGGCCTTCACACACCTTCGACTGCTTAGCTCTAGGTTTTCTGAACCGTGTTCTTGTACTACTAGTCCTGAAATACTGACTGTCGAGTATATCTTGGTGGCGGGGTTCCCTTCTCATTCAGTCGTTCACTTCGTCTGCTCGCTTGTTGGTTTCTGAGGAGCTTCGTCTTGACCCAAGTGATTAAGAATGGGTGATCTTAATGGATCCCCATGCGTCCACCATCGACCGAACTACTTATATTTCCTACTTAATTATTTTCAGCATGGTCTGCTGACCATATTTCTTAGAGTGAGTCGAAAAGCCCATGCTCCATCTTTTGTTTCGTCACGAAAGCCAATGACGTTCGTCAGGTTCTTAGTCTGTTCGCTTTCAAATATTTGACGGGAGATGGCTTTCCACCGTCGTCCCACTTTGACCACCATCCATGACAGGAGTGTCATGTACGCTAGATTGTTGAACTAGATACTGAGGCCATTCTGTCGACGCATAGAGTCAATGGCATCTTAGTTGTGACCCTAAGTCAGAACATTTGTCTCCATTCTTCAGCAGGCGCGCACTACCGTCCTTATCTTCGAGTAGGATCGTCATCATCCTTGAGCTCGAGATAGCCCAGTTGTTAAGGCATGAGTTCACTGACTGAAAGGTTCGTGGTTCAAATATAGCCCTAGCATCTCGGCTGCTCTTTTCTGGACTCGTGCTGAGCATCCGGATCTTCCTCCGGCCATGGGGAAGATAGCACAGGCAAATATGCAAACACATAATGGGGAAAAACGAGGAGTTTTGTCTAAAGCAGACCCGATCTTAGGGAACACTCTTCTGTCTCAAGAAGTTCCACTGGAATTCCAAGAGGCGCTACTCCTATCGCTTTATGAGGGGAACGGAAGTAAGGCTTTACCCGCAGCCATGACCTCATCAGCCCGCTAATTTGTGCTTGAGGTTTGCTGCCACAAGTTTCACTCGGTCGCCTTGCTGCTAAAAGTATTAGGACCAAAGTCCCACAAGAATCGTGTGGGATTTGTGTTGGTCGCAGCTTAGTGGGTCGCACCTAGTAGAACACCTGGTGCACCTGGCACAGGAATTGACTGAGGCGCCACTGGCCACGTTGCAGTCACAGGAGAACAAGGATGATTCAACAGTGGATGACCTGAAGGACAAAGTGGACCAACTAGTCGATCAGCTTACATCCATCAAGACGGAATCGCGGAGGCACGCTCGAAGAAGCCAATGCTACAAGTGTGGCATGCCTGACCATTGGAAGAATCAATGCTCTCTTACCCGACCACTTGTACATAATGAAACTTTGGGCTTCCCTCTTTCCGCTGTGCGATGGCTCCAAGGAAAGTCCTGCGAATATCTTCAACCTCTTCATACCATCATGAGACCTGCTAACTGTGGGCACTTCCTGCTGCATTCGATCCCTTTAAGTCTGTACACCTTGTCCGGGGCTTAGTGGGAGCAAAACTACAGACCTCAGTAAAGTTCAGAGTATTATGTCCCTTGACGTGTGTATCAGGCTACACTTCCGTTTTGTACTTTGACTGTGAGTTTTAGGGTCAGCAGCCAAAGCCTTTGGCTCAAAAGCCTGACCGCAAGGCTGCGGTGTTTGGCTAGAGATGTAAGTACATTGCCATTTTTACGGAACACGTCGCCACACATTTTCCAACCCGCAACCTGGAGTATCTGGAGTCTATGTCAGTTAGACCTTTAACCATTGACCAACCTGGTGTGAGAGTCTGTGAGTGTCGCGCAGGCACCTCTAGAATATTTCAGTTGGTAGTTGAGGTACACAAACCGTCACACCACGGTAAGGTCGAGTGCTTCTCTAATCATCAAGACGGAATCGCGGAGGCACGCTCGAAGAAGCCAATGCTACAAGTGTGGCATGCCTGACCATTGGAAGAATCAATGCTCTCTTACCCGACCACTTGTACATAATGAAACTTTGGGCTTCCCTCTTTCCGCTGTGCGATGGCTCCAAGGAAAGTCCTGCGAATATCTTCAACCTCTTCATACCATCATGAGACCTGCTAACTGTGGGCACTTCCTGCTGCATTCGATCCCTTTAAGTCTGTACACCTTGTCCGGGGCTTAGTGGGAGCAAAACTACAGACCTCAGTAAAGTTCAGAGTATTATGTCCCTTGACGTGTGTATCAGGCTACACTTCCGTTTTGTACTTTGACTGTGAGTTTTAGGGTCAGCAGCCAAAGCCTTTGGCTCAAAAGCCTGACCGCAAGGCTGCGGTGTTTGGCTAGAGATGTAAGTACATTGCCATTTTTACGGAACACGTCGCCACACATTTTCCAACCCGCAACCTGGAGTATCTGGAGTCTATGTCAGTTAGACCTTTAACCATTGACCAACCTGGTGTGAGAGTCTGTGAGTGTCGCGCAGGCACCTCTAGAATATTTCAGTTGGTAGTTGAGGTACACAAACCGTCACACCACGGTAAGGTCGAGTGTCTTCTCTAATCTTCCATGGAGGCTATTCGACATAGCGTCAGGCTTGTTTGGTCTGCAGCCACGGACCTGTTCGTACTTAGTAGCTGTCAGTGAGCACGGTGATCCATTGACGAGGGACCACAGCACCTATCCAGGAATATTAGACATTAAACCCTCTAAGGTTTTAGAAGTGAATTCTCAGAATGGGCCAAACGTTGGATAGCCCTATTACGTCTGTTGAGGTTGCCTTCGTTCAACCATATTAGGCCACTAGTCTATCCGAAGCGGATGCTACTGAATTGATCGGTTGGGTTGCTGCCAGTTTTGGCTTTGATGCTCTGGGCACTCCTTTAGGCTACGACGGCCTCAGAAGTGACGTTCTGTAACCACCACTGCACCGGTCAAACTGTCTATTGTCAGACACTGGCTAGTCGTGTATGTTTGATTCAGGTGTGTCGCGTCGGTGATGCGGACCGTTTGACCACCATTTCAACATGCCATCGACTTCAACTGTTTGGTTGTAATTGCCGGTCATCGATTGGACATATTGATAGTTTCTAGTGCTGCTCACCCTGCGACCCTATTCCTTCAGTTTTGCACTGAATATTGGGGCTTTAGATGACTGCACACGCAACTCGACGAGAAACCCCATTTAACATTCACATTCTTCCGGGCAGCTCCTCGGCATAATTCTTTGTGACAGATAGGGCCGAAAACCAATTCCAGCCCACTGTATATGTTTGGAAAGAACCAAGTTTAAACTAATGGCCAAATGCGCTTGGGGACATCGGCACTGGACTTCCTGCTCTCGTCAGTGTTGGTTGAACACAACGCAGACCTTATTTTCACTTTATTCCGTTTCACTTCGTCGGGTGGTTACCTCCAGTACTTTAGCTACAAACCATGTGCTAATACACATTTGTCCAGTTTGTAACTGAAAGTGAGGTGAATACAAGGAACAGCCGTAGGTGAGTGGAGTTCTCATCGACTCACGAACACCTCGTCTGGCTTCTTTCGACATCTAATCACCATTCAAAAGGGTAGTGGTAAGGCATAAAAGTAATGCATTGCTTGTTTATTCTTGCTTGGCGATCATCGTGGATCGAGTTGACTTTGTATCCACATACCCCATTCTCTTGACTATCCCTTCAGGGTAGGCTTCGGATTTTACTAACTTGTCGACGTACCATCTTTGTCTTTTCTTTTTTGCAGAACGCAACAAGCCTATCTTCTGCAGCGTGCTGGAAAGGAAGATGCTGCGAATCATATTTACCAATCGGTGACGCGACATCGGTAGGTCAAATAGAACAGTTCCATCATACCAGACTATTCGAAATGTTGATACACCCATTGTTTTCCATGTTCTAAAACGTCACGCCGGATTCAAATTATATGAGTTGACCGGCTCGAGCAACACTGTCGTGGTCGGCTCGGTCGATCCCAACGTAGAACTTGACAGGTCTTGTCTTTTGCAAAAACGAGGCCTTCCAGCTGCTGCTGTGTTCATGCGGTAAGGGTTTGTGTTGCTCTTCATGTATAAAAAGCCGAGAAAACTGAGTTAATTGCTTATGGTCTTGTTTGCAATAGTGGATTCTGACCTTGTTGAATGACGCTACCCAGCAGTTTGCAGCATCTCAGCTGTCTCTCGGGGAGCATTGTACGTTCCACCCCTCCACTAAGCTACCGTTTCGGTTACCACCCCTCGAACTACTAAAGGAGTGTATCACGAGTGGAACAGCGTAATGGCGGGGAAAATCGTTGTAGTGGTTTTTCCTGCCTTCGTAATTTCATGTCTGCAGCAAAAGTGAGTATCTTCCGGATGTCGACTCACCAACAGCGCTATAGTTTTTCGAAACGCTGGCTTCCTTCGCTCTCCGAAGTCCCTCTTTGGAGGGGACCCCTCATTGGCGGGTCACTGATTTTTTGTTTGTTTCAACTAACGGATTTGTCTTCACTGGAACTGGTCGAGTGACTAGATAAAAGCGATCTGCATGATGCGCCGCAGACGTTTCCGGATTGCATCCATCTAGCTTTCGTAGCTCAATGTATGGTGTCTGTGACTCTGATACAGCTGTTGTGTTCACTAGTCTTCGGGGTCCCAAGCGGTGTAAGAATATCTGAAAAAAATGAAGCGTATTTGAATGGACAGTGTTGACCGTAAAATCAAAGTGTAACTCCTCTTCGTCTTTCGATACGTAAATTAATGGGGTTATACTATTTAATCTAAATTCTTCCATCTAAACGGCCATTTAAACGCCCCCACAGTACACAATCTAGATCTCCCCTCTCCATTCTCATTTTATAGTCCAGGTGTCTCCATTACGAACGTACAGCCGTGGAGCCAGGATTGACTGGATTAATGTGGCTTTACCAGTGTTGTTAGACTGCATTGGAATAGGAATTACATTGCAGGAGTGCTGGACAGTTGGCATGTATCCGAAATGTCTTTGAAATGCCTGTCTATGGGTCCCGCTTCCTATACTTCCACCCTGGTTAGCTTACAAGGACTCTCTACCGGGTACTTATAACAAACTACTCAAAGTAACCTCACTCCTAGTCCAGGGTATCCACTGAATGCTTTTGCCGCAAAAGCCGAACACTTCCACAAATACATTGGTCAGTGCGCGTTATCTTCGAGCGAGAGATATGGTATTCTTTTTTTTGTTGGGACTTCCCTCTTCCATGAGGTTCGCACCAGGTCACGAGGCTTCCAGATGGAGTTACATTTAAGTGTTAGTTCATCAGTCATATCTCTGCTATTATGACCTTCATTGGTTCATTATCGTATTTAAAATAGGTTGATCCGTATTAACTTTTCGGTAGGTCCACGGATCCCGCTTTGCTCGCCGTAGCTGCGAACAATATTGTGTGCATCAATAAGGAACAAAACATCTTCGACAGTCGAAAACGTATCAAAATGGCATCGATAGACGGGTTGCAACACAAGCTGTTTGCCAGGCAACGTGAAGAAATAGTCATCAATCAAGGTCTGTTTTATTGGCACACGAACCAAGTAAGTTCCTCGGATATTCGCGTGTATCGCCGTTTTTTACCACTATTCGTACCGTTACACTCCGCCTGGTCGGTATTTACGGTCGCGCACCTGAAACGCCTCATCTTGAAATTTATATTTCAGGCGGATGCGTGTCATGTAAAGGCAAAGGCTGTACTTCAAATGAATCCTCATTCCACACGTGGTGTTCTCTTGTCAGTATCGCAGCTTCTGAAGGAGAAGCAGTACGACCGGGCTGCTTCTATGTTAGAGGTACGTTCCATCTTTTCTGATAGTCTGGCACTCTGCCACTTTAATTAGCTGATAGTGTTTTCCTGTTCACCCGGAGGACTCCATAGGCATATATTCGTTTTGAATATATTTTGCACGACTTAGTGCCTACATCTACTCGCACCGCAATCCTTCAAACCACTTTCCTATTCGTGACGAATCTGTTACCTTTATTTGGATCCGGTGATAATGACACTGTTGGCTCATTTGGCTCTTTCATAAAAAGTGACAGATCAGCTCGCACCGTAACATTCCTTGTTTATAGAGTACCGTGAGACCCCGTTGCTGCTTTGAAACCGCAATACTGGGTTTCAGGTTCACAAAATAACAGCTGTCTGATCGCTCACCGTGTACCAGGTTAAAAGTCGTAAAGCGTAGTCGGCGTCTTTTTCTGGAACCTATGGCTGAAAATACGTCACTGATGATCCGCGCGATATTCCGAATTAGAACGAACAATGCGCTTACGTTTGTCAGATGCACACCGTTCGGTCTCACCATCTTGTCATATGCACAACAAACATAGGGTGGTTGGGGGCACTTAACAACCGCAGGACATTTGGGTAGACAGACTATCACTTAGCAACGTTCATCTAAGAATTGGTAACCAGGGTTAGGTTTTGTAGTGCTGAACAGAACCGATCCTTGTTACGAATTTGTTATCAGGCTAGTGTATAGCAAACTGATGCAGTTGGTGAGTACATCAGAGCGGAGCGTGCAAAGTTGAGTAGCTGACTGAATAATATGGCCCGAAAGTCTACATTCAGACATAACCTGAGTTGGTAGTCACAGCTCTTATCAATAAGCTGCCGATAACCTACTCTATCTTAACTGCTGTAGTGATGGCCGTTTGACCATCTTTAGTCGAGGGGATAATTCTTGAGGTATTGATTTTTCTTACTGGAACCCCTCCTGAAAGAAACTCCCAGAACCTATGAGGACGTACTTACTAGTTTTCTGAATGGCTGGTCTACTTTCTAGGAGGCAACATAACACCACGGTGAAAACGCCTTGTACATTTGTCCGGGGTCATCGATGGCTTGTAAGCCTAGCTGATAGACTAGCTAGCCACATCTGTGAACACTTTAATGCATGTGACTCGGTTTAGTTAACAGTTTAGTTCTGGATGCGTAAACGACCTCATTCGTTGGAATATTTCACAGCTATACGTTCTCAGCTGTGCGTTCTCACGGCAATTTGTCTCATGTAGTGGTTCTTATTGGATTTCAGTGGAGGGGAAACTGGTTATTATTGGCCCAAATGACGATGAGTGTCCGAGCACTGAGTAGGTTTAACATGTTGCCCCAGCATGTATACCCTTACCTACGTATTTGAACAAAATTTATGGGGTATTCGCCTCAGACAAGATGTAGGGTTCTATTTTACCCTCGACAAAGCTGTTCATCTTTCTCTCACATACGGATGATGTTTAACTACTGCAGTAAATAAGACGTTCAATGCTGTTCCCATTGACATGACCGCACGGGGAAGCGCACCCTCCGGATTTGCGCTTAGACATCCGGCGGTGTTTTCTTAAGGGGAGTAGTACTCCACTGTACCTTCATAGCTATCACTGGTTGGTAGAATCTCGTCTGCTTGCAGTCAGCCGGCCGTGTCTTAGGTCGACTGTTGCTGGACTATCACTATGTTGGACATGACGAACATCCAGCTTTTCTCACATAGATTTTTTCTCATCTAAGGTCCTTCGAAGTTCTTTTTTGAGGCGTGATTTCCGCATTGGATGCATCATAGCTGCCCATGGGTTTTTATGTGCACCTCCTGTGGGCCTTATTCTAGGATAAATTGTATTGTCTGCTTGTTCCTTTACCTCCCATTTTTTCTCTTCAATTATTTTCGGCATGATAAATGAACAGAGTTGTCTTCTGACATTGTTTTCCTGTTTCTTTTTGAGTGCAACACTGCTACTTTTCTTATTTCTAGCAATACTGTGGTGCGCACGAGGAGCTAGCGCGAAACGGCTCAACGGATGATCTGAGTGTTCTGTTCAGTCTGGCTCAACTCCGTTTACGTCGGGGGGCTGGTGGACAGATCTGTAGCGGTGTTCCACGAGCCGAAAACATCGTAGCTATGGATGAATTTCTCGTCCGATCCCTTCCGGATACGGTACTGTACGCTCCTGGTGTAGTCGCTACTCGTATGGCACTGTACTTGCTTGCATGCACGGGAGACGGTGCAGTTATTGACCGTCCAAAGGCGATGGGACTTATCAAAGATATCGTTCAAAAATCACTCACTTGGTATGAGACTACCAATTCCAAGGTGAAAACCCCTTTTCGTCTTTTACACAGAACGTCGTGATTTCAATGTGATTTGCTTGTGCCAACTGATAAGTTGCATTTTAATGGTGCCTTTTTAACATCAGTGCTAGTTGCTTCCCATACATTTCTAGTCGTTAAGTTGCCATTCTATTAGGCTGCCAGTAAACATATCTGCACTCCATGACCCGGTATCAAATTCCCCCCGGAAGACGTCAGACGATCGGGGGTATATATAATTTCGATGATTTCAACACAAACTGAGATCTGTGGATGCGGTTATCTTACATGCTACAAGTAGTAAATATTGAAAATGTCTGGTACAGAAGTTGGCTGACAGCTGCGTGTCAGAAAGTCGTTGGTTTTAGCGTCAGCTGCGCGGAACAGGGGATAACGTGCTCAGTATTTCCGTTAGTTTCTCTTTTAATCATTATGGCACGCGTTGGGTCTTCATTCACACCGTGACGACTACGACCTGTGGTGAAAAGCCGTAATGTAGTAGACTGTCAAATTTGTTCAATGTGCCAGCAATCTAGTCCTCCACCGTTGGATGTTTCCGAATAACATCAAAGTTTCAATGAACGAAACGGTCCCTAGCGTTTTTAGGTAACAGTTTTCTGGCCTCTCCTTTATTGAACGGTGCCGCATCTGAAGGCCAACGTCCAACAGGGTAATCATGCATCAGGTTAAAACATAGGAGATAATTAAAAATTCAAGACCGTGGCGTCCATTCAGTCGCAGTGTGCATTGTGTTCCGAAGCGGTAGAGGGTGGATCGTGCGCAGGGTGGTGACTGATAGTGAGGAGGAGTATTCCATCACGTTTACCTGCCAAGAGTGTTTTGGAACGGGGTGAATTGAAATGAGAGTTTTCCGTGAGCCCGGAACCACGAGGTACTCGTTCAGATAATTGTTTGTCTACGTAGTATTTTTAGTGGGGTGGAATTTTCCAAACTGCTGTAGGCAAATCGGTAACTTATAGATAAGTGCTGCTGGTGGACGAGTTGCGATTTTGGTTGTTGGAGGAAGCTGCGCCTGTCTGTATCCATCCCAGTGGTTGGATCTCATCTACCTTTGTCGATTATCATTGTTACACACTTCTGAGTAGATCGAGAGATAATTGGATTTAGATTGCTCTTGATTTGCTATTGACAAACAAAGTTTAGCGCACGCATAGCATACGGCTTTTCTCATCTGCGGGCTTCTGTACAAAACTTTGTCATATCGTTATTTGACTCGTCTTCCCTCGCTATCTCTCGCTCTACTTCGGTGTACATTCGACTTGTGCCATTGAACTTCATTGCGGTACACACAGTTCCGCAGCGCTTATATTTTTGTTTCGACGAACATGGTTATCAACGGCATGCCTATTCGTAAGTTTCTGGGCTCTCGCTTTTGACCATCTTGTGGATATCTGTGTGAAACAGAACTCCCTGTCCCTCCATATAGTATACCAGCGTAATGCCTGACGTTTGGTCAAATTTTGCATACAATACCTCGGGTGGATGCTCTGCCAAATACGGTAACTTTGCATGTAGCGTGTATTTATAGACGTCCAGGTGCTAGCAACACGCTGATCGAGTGGAACGGCCGATTCTATGCAAGCAGGATCGTGGGGATTAGAAGTGGAACCATGGGTCCGTAGGATATCGACGTGTGTAGTGTGACGTAGCACATGGAAGTACAGATGACTCTATCCATCTGTCGGTTCAACGTTTTTTCAGAAACACCAGAGACTGCACGTTTGGTTGCATTGAAAAACGACAGATTGCTGTCAAATGACGACGGGAAGTCAGACCGTTTTCTATCCTAAACATATAAATTGGTGCGACACACCCACTCAGTTTCCGAAGGTAAGAATACACACAGCGTTCGATGGGTTTTTATGAGTTGGCTAAGCGACTGTTTGCCTGATATCCGTTAGTGGATATCTTGCCATCGAACTCAAAGGTCATATTAACTGTTTTTGTGTGCGGCCCTCCGTCAAGGATCGTTGGATCTCTTCCGGAAATTATTAATCCTTTGGGCTCCCTCGGGGAGTAGTGTCGTCTGTTCACTGGGGTGAATTAAATCTCCATATCGAGGGGCGTAGTTATATCACTCTTAGCATCGTTACGTGAGATTTGGTTTCCGAATACTGTTAACACGTTGCATATCGAATGAGGAGGGATGGGATCGCATCTTACAAACGAGGCCGAAGAAGCAATGGATTAAAAAGTTGGAAAGCTACTGGGTTTGCACACTGAGTATTAGTAATTTGTGCATTTTGCCAAGGGGATTTAATAGCACCACTCCTTTTTCACATTTTGTTATGATCTTATTCGCGTGTAAGGTCGAACAAATTGGGTGAGCTCAAATAGTGTGGTCAAGTTATGTGGTTTTGATAGCCGCTGTTTACGAATAATGTTTATTGTCACCAGCGTGTGAGAACGATTGGGTGATCGACTGGATCATCCACTACAACAAATGGGACAGTCTTTAGGAATTGTCATTCGGAATTCCTCTAGCTTTGTTCCCTTACCTCTTCATTTAGGATCCAGCCTACGCTCAGCTTTTGGACAAATGTGCCAACTTTCTGCTTCAACATGGTCAGGCCGAGTGTGCAGCACGTCTTTGTGAGCAACAGATCGCACGGTTAGATCGTGCTTACGATCCACGGGACGAACAACAGGTCAGTTACAGACAGACACTTGTTGCTCGCTTAGTACGGGCTTACGCACAATTTGATCGCCCCAGAGCGGAAGCAGCTTGCAAGAGTCTCAGGTTTAAGGAGGAGCTCAGCGAAGCAGAGGTGGATTCGTTAGAAACGTCCTTCTTATACGGTGCCAAGGCAGTTAGACGACAGGGCAGGACTGGTGAGCAGCAACCTTCGGAGGGCAAACCATCCAGTAAAGCCAAGTCGACACCTGTTACACCTGGGTAAGTTTCTGCACCGTCATCCTAAGTTCCACTGATCCTTTACCTTCCGGTAATTTTCAGGCCGCATTGGGCCATTCAACCATTCATACCATGCATTATACATAATCTTTCTCCCACAGATTGTCCTCCGGTGCTGCAAGTGTTGACATCCAAGCTAAACGCGTCCGCCGGAAAAAGAAACGACCTATCCGCCTGCCTAAAAACTATCAGCCTGGAGTGATGCCCGATCCTGAGCGATGGTTACCTAGACGAGAACGTGCACACTATCGTGGAAAACGTCGAGACAAACGTTATCAACCCACAAGAGGCCCGCAAGGACAGATCTCTGGTGGTGGCGAATGGTAAGCTTCTCGAAATTATTCTTCCCTGTTGTCAGGGTGAGATCTCCGTCTCGTTTCTTTGTCGTATGACGGTTTCATCTCTGCCTCTTGTAAAGAAAATAAACCACGGTGGCGATTTCAGCCACCTAGGGGACGACTCAGTTCCACTTTAACTTAACTATCAATTTTGTGGAATCAGGTCATTTACCTCGTATTTGTCTCCATGATGAGGATGCTGGCGGGTTTTTTGTTGCTGGCGGTTGGTAAAACTGATAGGAGCATCGCGCTCGATCGTGGTACGGTACTGCCAAGCATGGACGATTGGACGGGGGGGGGGGGGGGGGGGGTTTTGGGAAACCCGCCGCGAGTACGGAAATATAGCACGTAACACCAGACTGCTCTTTTGGTTTAGCTCACTCTCTCATGATAATGTTTTCAACCTAAATAAACGGTAGAACTCTATCGAAGATGCTCATTTTGTTTCGTACAGATTAAAATAAAGGGGAGCGTGAGTTGCCTTTGGCTGTAAAGACAGTCAGCCCACCAAAACAATTGATAATCGTGATTACACAGTAAGTTCCTCTAGGGAACAATATTCTTAGGGCGGACCACAATCGTTATTTTGCATGGGGCGTTTTCTTCGAAGCTTAATTTATCTTCGTCATTATTCTAGCCCTGTCGCAACTTATCTCATGTTTGTTGTGTTACTCACCAAATCTGAATTTCATTATGAACACTTTCCGTTCGATGGTGTAACAGTTCACTCTGGGCTTTCGTATTCTACAGGGACGCCAGCGCACGAAGTCCCAAAGTAGGCCCGACTACATCTCCTCGGCCGGCCGAAGCCCCGGGATCGACTCCAAAGCAAGGCAACAGTGCTGCCAGGCAGCAGCAGCGAAAGGGTCGCAAGAAGGGTCGCTAATTCACTCATCACTCCTATCAAGGTGATATGACCACTGTGCGCTTGTTTGTTCCCTATGCCTTGTGCCACAACAAACTCATTGTCTTTTGGTGGTCTACCCCATTTTTCTTCCTTTTTTCATTTCCCGTATATTAATAGAATGGTTATCTTGCTGAAACTCTACGCTGCTTTTGAAATTCCTTTGTCTAGTGGCCTTGTCTCATGCAGAAATGACCGATGGGGAGTTCTACTTCCTGTTAACCTTGAGTCTATCTGGTGACTTGATGTGTTTTGTTTGAGCAAACGGATTTAAAAACGATGGTTGAAACCTCTTCGGCACTGATCTGCCGGTACTACTTTCCTGAGGGAGCACACTACTCAAGAGGTTATTGGAAAGTCCTCAGTAGCACATTACCAAGTTTTACCCTATTTCAGGCTTAAAGGTTTCCATTAACCTTATGTTCTACTTGTATACCAAACTGTAATTGATTGGCATAATATGCCCGTTTGCATACTACTTTGGTGTTATGGTATTCAAGTAGAACATAAAGTTGATGGGAATTCAGGGCCTGCACCTATCTGATGAGCCACAAGAAGGACAAAACCTCTATAGGTCTACGTTTTCGAAAAAGTTTGGTGACAATCGGTAGATTTATTGCTGGGCAACGTTTCGCTTTTGACAAAAGCTTCGTCAGGCCAAGTGACTAGGTTCCGAGATTGATCGAGATTTAAGGCGGAAGGAGAACCAATCAGCTAAGTCAAGCCAAATCCCTGTTGGGTGTCGGCCGAGGGATTTTTGTGTGTTAGAGTGGTTGAACAAGTGTTGGGTCGGTGGGGAACCCATAATTGTGTTTGGGTCCAGCCTAGGGTCTAGTTCTTCTGGTTCGGTTCATTTGATGGTTCCTCTTGAACTTCGTTTGAACCTTCTGTTAGTCTGTGTGGGTGAGGTAGTGCTAAGACCGTTGTGTAAGAGGGATGCTGTGACCTTTGGTCGGTTGGGGTTTCCACCCCTACCCCCCGGTTTTTTCTAATGATCCTAAGTGGATTGACGACCACACCGTCACATGTCAACTCGGCTTATCTAAGACCACTTTCTATACGCTCGCTAGCTCCACACCCTCGATTCTATTCACGCTGTAATGCTTAGTGATTTCCACCGCCTCGGCTATCAGCCGCTGTAGTGTGAATCGCAGTCCCCGTCTTAAAACTTCCACATTCTCCAGATCTATTCTATGTCCCGTGTCTAAGGCATGTACCGCCATCGCTGAGTCTTTGACCAGCGTTTGGTATTCTTCTGCATTCCTTAGTGGCTTGTTAATCCTTCTTTCATGCTCACCAATTCTGGTGTGCAATTCCCTGGCAGTTTGTCCTATATAAACCTTAGCACAATCGTTGCAGTTAATTTTGTACACACAATCCCTAGTCCTTTCAGCCGGCAGGGGATCTTTCAATTGCACCAAAACTGAGCGTAGCGTTTTCCCCTTCTGAAAAGCTACTCCAATGTTGGCTAAGTTCAACAATCTTCGAATAACCTCCGATGTTCCTGCTTTATATGGAATGACTGCTGTGCCAATCCATTCTTTACTGGGTCTAGATACTGGAACCAATATCTTCCTTAGTTGTCGCCTAATCAAACTCACTGGGTATCCTATTTCTTGAAGTTTGTTGGCAATCTCGATTTGAGCTGCCGTCCGGTCGATCTCTTCTGTGCACAGCGCTCTAACTCGACGAAACATCGATGAGACAATGCTGGCGTACACGGACTTTGGGTGTGCTGGTGAATAGCTTAAGACGGTTCCCGTGTCTGTTGGTTTCTGGTAGATAGTCGTTTTCAATTCCCCACCAACCTTATGTGTTATACAGTCCAGAAAGGGTAATGTGCCCGATGTGGACTCTATTTCCATGCTAAACTTAATGTGTGGGTTTAAACTATTGAGATAGTCATGGAAGCTGTTCACGTTATCTCTTTTTATTACAACAAACGTGTCGTCAACATAACGCCAAAAAACTTTTGGTGGACAATGATATTTGGCCAAGGCTATTTGTTCGAAGTCCTCCATGTAAATGTTGGCTGAAACGGGATATTGGAGATCCCATTGCAAGGCCTTGTTCTTGTGAGTAGACAGTTTTGTCAAAAACAGACTTATCAAGATTCAAACACACTCTTATGCCCTCAACTATTTCATCCACCGAGAGCTGTGTCCGTTCCCCGAGTGTCGTGTCTGCCAGTAACAACCTCTTAGTTACCTCCGGAGCATCTGCCCTAGGGATATTTGTGTACATTGGGATTACGACTCACCTCACGAGGACTTTGTCCATCTCCAGAGGAAGCCCTGCAACCTTGTTGGCAAAGTCGTACGAATTCCTAATGAAGGTGCTTCCCCGTGTGGTGAGCGGTTTTAATATACTAGCTAAGAATCTGGCCAGTTCATGCGGCGGTGAGCCTATATCACCCACTATTGGCCTTATCGGTATATCTGCCTTGTGGATTTTTGGTAGTCCGTAGAGTCGCGGTTGAATCGCACTTTTTGGATACAACACCTACCTTCAACCTTACTCTTATTCATTATTGAAGTAATACTGCTACCGGTAATTTGTCGGTAGGGTCCATCGGCGAGGTGTTGCCTGACCTTTTGAAGGTAGTCGCTCTTATTCATAACTACTGTGGCTTAACCCTTATCGGCCTTGGTAATAACAATATTACTTACCTGTCTCAGTGCCTTCAACGCTCTCCGCTCAGGTGGTAAAATATTTGGAGCTCCCGGCTGTTGGGATTTCAGGACTGTGACCAGTTGTATCCGTAGCTTCTCAGCTTCCGCTGAAGGAAGCTTTTGAAACACTGACTCTACACTAGGAATTAT